TCGATATCCTTATCTTGATTCAATTTGCCGGGGAAATATTTTTGAGAAATTTCAAATTTCTTTAAGTTTTCAATTTCACCGCTCCACTCGGACCACAACTGCTTACATTCAGTTCGAATTTCATCATCAAATTCTAAACTTAACTGCCAAAGGTTTTGCATTATCAATTTTGCACGTAATACAAATGGCGCCAAGAAACCTACTGGATCGAAAATAGTAGCAGTCACCTTTAATATATTTCTTTTTGTGGTTTACACATTTTTCACATTTTGTCTGGATCTAATTATCCAGTACTTTTCACGGAGGAACATGAGTGTACTAGCTACACCTGTATGAAGAACTCGTTCATGTGCATCACTTACTAGAAGATCGGTAAAACGAGTTTTTGAAGGAATAATTAAAGGATGCTTTTCATGAAAACTTAAAGTTGATTTTTGTAGTCTTCCTCCTACTAACAAAACTCTTTCCTCGTTTAGAAAAGAATTTAGTTCATTAATGTTTGAGCTTTTTGAAATCAACTGTCCCGACTTCAAACTATTAATTTCATTAGAAAAATGTTTGCATGATGTGATTTCCATAACAAACGAGCTACATATCTACCATTAGTAAAATGCAATTCTTTTTCAAATTTCTCAATGACTGATTTATCGTCAGGATTCTCATTCTCCTCTAAACCCAAATGGTCTAGACTCCAAAACCTTCGCAAACAGTCATTAGCTGAATTATTATCTTCCTTCAAGCAATGAGAAGCACTAGTTGTAAAAATACAGGCACTAGACTGATCACCTTCTAAAGATCCAACTAAGGACCAACTAAATATAGAAGGCACCGCAAATAATTTATTAGTTACTCTTTTCTTTTCGCCTGTTTGCACTTTCCAACATGAATCAGATCCTAACAATATTTTTATTTCAGCTGCTTCACCATTATCGGCTAATTTTAGATTTTCTGATTGTTAATATTTCTAAAATGTTTTTGGATGGGAATTTTTATGATCGCTCCAGAAATTGTATCTGTAACAAGAGCTTCAATAGTGATTGAGTCATTAGGGAAATGCATCCTTTTCAGGGTAATTTGAACAACATTATATTCTATTAGTTTACCTTGGCTATACCCAAATGAATAAATATATAACCTTTCTTTCCTTAAAGTCCTTAATTTTAGTTCTTTAGCCAAATCAGATCTAATAAGTGACCTCCGTGATCCACCATCAATTAAGATTTTTACTATTTGGCTTCTAGTATTATCTGTATTTGAAGCGTTAACAGTGCAAGTTTGTAAATATACACCTTTATCAGCAGTTTCAGAAAACAGTCTCAGAGTTAAACGACAGGAATGCAACTACATTCTGCTTAGAATCTGATACTGTAACTACTTTCTGTTTAACATCTGAAATGCTCATTAGTTTTCTCACATTTTCCTACATCATGTGTATTTTGATTACAATAGAAAGAATACGGCTTAGTCACTGTAGCTTACGCGATGCAGTAGGAACACTTGCCCCTTTTAAGTAATTATTTTTATTCTGTTTAACACCGTAATTTGTGTCTCTTTTCTTTGAGTTTATTATTAAATTAGAAGCTTCCCGACTCTGAACTTCCAATCTAATGAATTCGAGAAGTTCTTTTAGGCTATATTGCTGTTTAGAGTTTCTTTTTCTATTAAACTGCAGATTCATATCGTCTGGTAAAAGTTTTAAAATAACAGGTCCTAAAAGGGTTCCGTAAGCTTCCGACACAATACCCAATGAATTTAAGCTTCTTATATTGATTTCACAAGAATCGTATAGTGTTCTTAGTGCTTTCACATTGGACGAACTTCTAACCGGTTCAAGATTCAAGAGTTTATTCATGTGCGAAGATATTACCAAATCTGTTCGTCCAAATTTTTCTTCAATTAAACTTATAGAAGCGTCATAATTTTCATTAGATAGTGCAAACCCAGATACTGCGCTTAAAGCAGGTCCTGCGAGTAAGGATTTAAGATAGGTAAACTTCTCGACCTTTGTTAACTCATTATTATTACCAATAGCATTTTCAAAGGAATTATAAAATTCCAAAAATAAACTAGGATCACCATAATATTTAGGAATTGAAATTTTAGTTAATCGAATGTTAGTTTTGTTTTCGACCTTCACAGCAGCAGTATGGTTACCAGGCGATTCACTTTCAATGCTCACTATCTGAGAATTTAAATTAAGTTTCTTTTTAGCCCTAAAAATACATAAACTTGTTTTTTCATCATACTCTAACACAGTATTACATTCTTTCTCAATTTCAGACTCATCCCCTTTAAAACAATCCAATATTTTTTCATTAATTTCTTTTAACACAGTCTGTTTAGAAGTAAGTAAAAACACATTTTCTTCTACCATATTCTTATCCAAAATGTCTTTTTTAATTTCAGGTTCTACAACATTTATTATTCTAGAAATAGCTTGCCTCAGGACTTTTCTAGCAGATTTCAATTTAATAATATCGTCTGCCATAATAACAACAAAAGTAATTTTTATTCTCTTACCTGGTGCAGGCTTCAAATGGTATAATCCAAATTTGGTAACTCGCTTTCCTGGTGAAACACATTCACACGTAATCCCGCAACGTTCAGTGCAAAGGAATAATTTTTCAGTAAGACGAAAAACACCGCATTCTAAATAAAAAATTGTTCGTGCCCCACGTTGGGCGCCAAAAATATAAAATATTATATTAACTGTCAAGAATCGCAAGATATCTTAGTTCAAAAAACACTAACTCGAATCGCACATAACATCAAGATACATGAACACTACGAATCAGTTTTCTAAACTCCCAAGTTTATTCATGTCTAACACACATTCAACTGGCGGATGCCAGATCCAAGAACAAGAAATATATATACATCATGAAAGATTTATGCCCTCTTTGGCGATTAAAATATATTTCCACATAAAATTTCTTACAATAATTATAAAGTCAGTTAATGAAAATGATTTATTTATGATATTGAAAGATTTAATAAAATTTTTATGAAAGAAATGAGAAGATTGTCTGTATGGAAGCATTTTATGAGAATTACTCTGTTGCCTTTCATACAGCTTGTGAAAAGCATAAAATGTGACTTCTTAAATGAGAAAGATTCATAAAGTTTAATCTTGCATAATAAAAAAAACTAATATTTTTTATTTTTAATCTAGGTTTTCTTATGCATTGTTTTTTTCAAGCAGATAAGTCTTTCCCTCCTCATCTTTATAGCTCATTGTTTAGAGGAAGCTTATTTAGGACTTTTCCATTAAACCTGTACCACTTGGTTCTTTTTTTATTCTGACATGTTTCTTTGGCATAGAATATCACTAGTTTTCATTTTGGTACTTTCCTCATGGTAGTTTCTGTAGACATCTGTCAAGTAGTCATGTTTTTCATCCAGCTCATTTCATTTTTTTTAATTGCAAGGGATTTCATAATTTTGGGTTTGCCAAGCGATGAAAGTATGGTTATTCTGTTTCTTCAAAAAAAAAGTATAACCATATTTTTATCTTAAACAAAAAGGATCTTTATTTGAATACAGTCTTCCTTCACAAAGAAAGACTGTGTTCAAATAAATACCTCATTTCATGAAATTAAAATGTGATTCAGAATCAACTTGGCTATCTATGCCTCTTTACTCATGCTGTGAAGGAAATGCTATCTGGACACGAATGCAGTTCTCTAAAACCCATACTCCATTTGTTACTGCCATATAGTTTATTTACTTATGGTGTCAAGAGTTAATATCTACTGATTTTGTGAACTACTGCTTCAAATGAATCAGAACACAATGGTTTATTGAAATAATTACAAGCATGAGATACGTGTCAGTATGTTCTCATCTTAAGATTAAAGTCAGTAGATGTAACAAAATTATTAAACTGATGTCAGCTTATTCATAAGAACATAACATGCATTACATTCTTTCACCACAGTGGGTTTTGGGTAGATTGTGTTTTGAAACTAGAAAATGTTTCTTGTTGCTGTTCTTGATTGATCCATGCAAATTTTAATAGCTGCAATAAGGGAAAATGTCACAGATGGAACTATAATATTTTCCAACTGCTGGAGTGGATATAAGTCTTCTGATTTGCAATTAGCTGAATATGAACATTTTACAGTAAATCGTTTGTATCATTTTGTTGATCTGGACACTGGATGTCATGCTCAGCCTTTTTGATTACTTGTGACGTAATGCAAAATGGGGCAATAAATGCCAAAGAGGCACTGGCCATCCACATTTAGATTCTTATTTGATTTAATTCATGTGGTATCACATTTATTCTTAAACAGAAACATTATGTTAAATGCTATTTTGGTACTTTCTGATTATTCACATCCAATTCTTTGTGATTTGATGGAAAACTTTTGTTTGGTAATTTTTATGGCTCATGAGTAATTTTTTTTAAAATGCTAATAAAAAGATATATTTTACAAGAAATAAAAGTTTTATGGGGGATTTGGAAAAAAAAGTATGTAAAAAATATATTTTTCAATTACGTAAGGTTAAACTTTATAAAATTATTAAGGTAATATGCATCTCTTTAGCTTGAGAAAATTCACATTAGGGAAGCTTTGTGAGAGGCAACAGATTAATTCTTATGAAATGCTGTCAATATCTTTTATGTAGATAATCATATTTCTTTCAAAAAACTGTCATTAAAATAATTCATTATGAATAAATTATTTTCATAAACTGTCTTTATACTTATGCATACATTATACTATGTGGTCAATATTTACATCTCTACAGCCAGTGTTTAACTGTTCAGCAAAATTATGATTAGATTTAAAATAAATAAATCTACATGCATTCAAACATTTGTGGTACACATGTGCATGGTGCGGTCACTGTCACATGCATGCTGGGGGTGCAAATGAATACCAGTATTTTTTAATTTTATGCTGCCTATTTAGTAGCATGTGATTATTTTTTAGTGCAATATTTATTGATTTCTTGTCATTTTATAACTTTTTTTTTTTTTTTTTTTTTTACAGACTTCAAAGTACTGTAAAAATTTTATCGACTCGGATATAAACCTCTTGATAGAGATGTGCACCGGCATTCACAATTTTGTCAACACCCAGGAAATGTCTGTCAATGCAATGGGTATGTATACCAGTGATCCCTCCTCAGCTGAGCGTAAATCTTTGAGTATATTAATTCTGTGGGCTGTCTTCACAAACCGTTCCAAACTGGCTAAGATACTGTGGCGCCATTCTGAACAACCAATTCACATTGCTTTGATTGTATCTATGATTTATGAACATTTGGAAGGTTATGTGACAGATTCGAACCTACGGCAAGAGTTACAATCCCTTAGCAGGTAAATCTAAATTTATGTATACATTATTTTTATTAAATCAAAGGTTGTACTTTATTTTAGTTCAGATTTTTGATAAAAATAAATACTTTTTTATTAAATAAATTTTTTCACAATAAATGATTTATTATTATTTTATTTGAAAATGGCTATTAATACCAGTAATTTCTGGTTATCTGCATCCTCAGTTTCAACTTTCAATAGATTTGCCTGTTTTTGGCATATTTTCGAGCATAACGTGATATATAATCATATTTGTAAGTGGCAATAAATAACCCATGTAAATCTGTATCACATATAAGTTTTAATATATTTAATACTGAATTTTTATTATCATTTGTAAATAGAACTGCCCCTATTAGCTGTAAAATAGTCAAACAAAATGTTTTTCATCAGTTAACAAAGTCAGCGATGAGTACAACTCATGCGGATGCAGATAATCTGTGAGTACCAAAATGTGTCAAGCATTTTCCCCAATGAATGTAATCATAAACATGTTGTCATTAAAAAAAATAATTTTGGGATAAGAACACTAGAATAACAAACAATTTTGTCATTTTAACATTTTTGTAAAATTAAAAAAAAAATAGTGGGTTGAAGGAAAATATCTATTCTTAATCCATAATCCAAGTAAATTCTTAAATCATGCTAGATTTGTGATGCAAAATCATTTTTTGCTGTAAAATAGGACAGCATCTCAGTGCCGAAAGCTTTACAATTTCTGCACTCAAAATCCCTATCAAAACTGCTGAAATATGTTCCCTCTCTGTAAGAATTTTGCCTTTGCTTGTGAAGTCTGATAGCCCTTTAGAATTTTCTTGTTTTTCTTTAAAATGAGTTTACAAACTGTTCAGTATTTGTGAATATGAAGTAGTTTCTTCATGAAATTTCTCATCTGAAAGATGAGAAGATCATTCTCCAAAAAAATGTAAAATATTATGTGAATATTTATCCACTTTACAAAATAATTTTTGCACAAAATATGAAGAAAAGGAATGACTATTAAATTACAAATTTTATTACAAAATTAAGAAATAAACTGATGACATGCTATATGCTTTCTTGGTGCAACTCTTTGATGTGTAAAACCTATATATCTTAAGAATTTCGTTAACATGTTAGCTTATGTATTACAATGTATAATGTAATTTAGCACAAGGAAGAGAAGTATACCAGTTTGAAATTGAAGTTGTACAGCATTCAATCTTAGATTAACAATGGCCTTTTTGCGAAACCATTATAAGCATAAGGTTGAATTTTCTTCAAGTAAAAATAGCTTAGATCTATTAAACTATAATTTTAAATAGCGTAATATAAATATAAATTTGAAAACTAAGACTTTTTTAATCTGTGTTTATAGCAAACTTTCTTACTGAAAATGTAAAGAGAGAATTTTGGAATTAAAAAGTATCCATAATTGTTTGCAATTTACAAACTGTATCCCACTTATAGAACAAGTCTTTTATAATTATAAATATTCTTGGTTTAACTGCCACAAAATTGATAAAAATAAATAATTTAGAATGCAAATTAAAAACTAATAAGTCATTCTATTGCTACTTTGTTGAGAGTTTTCAAAAGTTTTTAACTAAATATATTTTGTGTGAATTTTTACTGCAAGTGACATTTCTAAAAACACACTAAACATTTATTTATTTATTTTTTATGTAGCAAATTTCAGTTCCCACACAGAGTGAAAGACTGAAGTATATTATTATTGATTTCTTATGATTAAACATGTTAAATAAAGAAGGTTTTTATGCTGTAAATTTTCTGCAAAATAATTTCTTGACTTCTTGAGCTTCAGTGATTCTAAAGTAGTATAGAATTTTGATAGCTGTAGAATTCCCCTCCTGTATAATAGTTTTAGTCTTGCTACTAGTGCTACAGCATCATTATCATGTGCAGTATTTTATAAAGCAAGCTCTGTCGTTTTCTTGTCTTTATTTGAAAATTTTCAGTAAAATCCTTTAAGTACTTGCTACATTATTATCCATTTAACATTTTAATTATTGTCAATTTTTGAAAGTTTTTTTTTACTAGCTCTTTATGGTAAAATATAAATTTTAGTTTTTAGATTGGAAACAGTACTAGCAGCTGAAATATATTTACAATGAAAGACAGTTGCAAGTTAAAACTTTATAAGCACTGTGTCTAAGATCAAAAACAACATAGATACACACAGGCACATGAAAAAAAAATTTTTTTTTTTTTTTTTTTTTTTTTTTTTTTTTTTTTTTTTTTTTTTTCTTCAAGTTTCTGCAAAAATTAGTAGAGTGCAAAGTCCTTTTTAGAACTTTTTCCCCATTTGAAAGTTTAGAAATGGAAAATATAATACTCAAAAAAGAGTTGATGAGTAGTAAAAGCGATTTTTCTTCTGACTATGTGAAATTCATGCATGTCATTTTCAAGCACTTGTTGGCTAAGATATCATAGGCTGGCTTCTGATAATACATTGATGGATGATGTATTGAAATGAAATGTTGCTCATACTTTTCTTTTGTTGGAATAACAACGAAGATGGAAGAAATCATATTTCAAGAAATTTAAGTCAGTTAACAGTACTACTTAATGAGCAGATACATGATAAATTATTTTTTTTAAATAGCTGGTGATTTTTGCTTGGAAGAATATTTGATGCAATTCTTTAAATGTTTCATAGTAAGGAGTGCAGACTTTTTCAGTACCTCTCAATAAATTGTCCTCTGCTTTCCATATTTGGGTTAATCTTCATTAATAAGTCATACAGTTCTTGTGCCCTTTTTTATCAGATCATTTAATTTATTGTACTTAATATTATTTACATGTTCCACCCTAAAGCACTACATGGAAGAGATGAATATCTTCGTGGAGGACTTTTCTAAGGAAAACTAGCTCGTATTAACACATTGCACATGGGGAAAATTACGAAAATGGCCATGCAGCCAGCCCGTTTGCAGGATTTGGACCTTGGACTAAACTACTAGTATTCAGAGACATTTACTGCTTGGCCACTGATGGGCCTTTCTTTTATTTAAAGGTTCTTAATCTTCCTCACTATCTCTGCTTTTACTGCTGCCTGATATTATAAGATTGTTCAATTCTTCGTTTATCTTTATGCGATCATCATTTTTGACAATTTTTTTTTCCCTCCGCCTTCCATATCTGAAAATCCTTCACCACCTTTTGCTTTTGCAGTTTGTACGATTTTCTTGTCTTCATTTTCAATCGATAGAACTCCTATAATATTGTCAATAACATCTAGCGAAAGCTGATGCTAACAGGCATTCATTGTTGATAAATTCACTTGTTCCCATGCTAGTTGAATAATTTCTGTGCAGTGTGTTGTGTTGAATTGCTTCCAGAATGCCATAAGTGTGTTGTTTTTTTTTTTTTTTTTTCATCTAGTACTTTTATTTTCAGAGATGCAAGAATAATAGATCTTGAATGTTTTGTTTGATTCTCTGATCTATTGGTCGGATTAAGAAAGTGGTGTTTGGTGGAAGGAATAAAACCTTTTCATTTGGATGCAATGTTAGGAGGGCTTCAGTACTGCATCCAGGAACATTATCAGGAATTAGGAGTATTTTAAAGCTTGGGTTTTACCATTCATTCTAAGTAATGTTTGACTTTTAATGAAAGAATTTTCAAGCTTGTCATTTAAGAGAGCTATTGCAATGCAGCCCGTTGCGTCTGCTTATTTTAGCGGACGCGTCGGAAAATTGGAACAGAGAATTGAGACTAAGGTTTTTGACAAAGTTTATTTAATTCATTAAAAAAATTTGTCACGCAAAGTTTCAATTGTCTGTTTCGGCGAAACACGTGATGGAGTTAGCTTAGTTCGAAATTCATTTTAAAAATTTCCCTTGACGAGCCAAAATGAACTTCGAATTGGGCTAATTAACCATTTACCGCTTCTTAATTTTTAATATTTATTTTTACCTCGATCAATTGATTAGTATTTTACTGTGTTTTAAATCTACTTTATTCGTTTAGCACATAGCTTACTATTTTTGTTTTTACCTCGTTCATTTTTTTACTGTGTTAAAAATTACTTAATTCGTTTAGCATATAGCTTACTTTTTATTAATTTTATTTGTAAATATTCAAATGTTGTATTTTTCTCCTCTTTCACACATTTCATAGCAACTAAATATGCTTATGTTGAAGTTTTCACGGAGCCACAGTTTTTGGTAACTTTTTAACGTGCAGACTAAAATTTGTCTTCTAATTTCCTTAATTTTGCAGCACAGTGTGCAAAATTTTGACCACGTAGGTCTTTTTCATTTGTTCTTACTACTTAACTTTAAATTATATATATATATATATAAAGTAACGGGAGCAAAACTATGCTAGAACAAAAGGCACACATAGCGTAATTATCTCCTTTAAATTAATGATATCTATACTGCTAACAAATTGTTACTTGACATTTCTACTACAATATCTACGCATAATTGATCCTTTCTAGACTAATACTGGCATAGCATATTTCTGTGGAATGATTTAATATAATTTCTAATTTAAGTTTCACATACTTTCATATTTAGGGAATTAATTACATAGCACTGAAGATTACTCAATGTATTATAAAAGGTATGCTATCTGATTTATGTTTAAGATGACTAAATTTAAATGTTTTATGCTCACATGTACATATACTCCAGAAACCTGGCACATTTCGAAATTTCTGATAAATCAAAATTACTGGAATATTTCATCAGAAAAGCAAAAATTTAATTTTTTAAGCAATTTTTTTAATTTTGGTAAATTTCGTGCGATTTTGACATAAATTAGCCTGATCAACAAAAATGCAAAGCTCATGAGGCCCATTAGAACACAAGTGAACATTAGAACAGTGTCATTGAACCACAGTAGTTAAACCTGGCTCCGAATACTGATGAAGGAGCTAACTGTACGGATCTTTTCCTGATTTTCCCTCTCCACGTGTAACATTAATACAAGTAATTTACCCTTATAAAGTACTCCCCCAAAACATTCTTTTCTTAAAATAGAGAGTAATCGTATGTTTTGAGCTAAATGAAAGAAACATAAACAAAATTCAGATGCATGAAACAAACGTGAACCAGTTTCCTATAAATCCTACCTGAAGGCATTTTATCTTTCAGGTTGAGAGGCTTTGTCTGCTTTGCCTTTATTCATTGAAATCAAACAACGTCCCCTAATAACGACAAAAAACCTAACATTGGGGAAGGAAAGAGGTGATAAATAGTTCTTAAGTGAAAGGCTCTTTGTAAGTATAAAGGTTCTACCTGTGGCTGCCAAATACTGGTAGTTCAACCGGTATTCGATCCCAGGCAAAAATGTTGAGTGCATGATTTGTTTCTGTGGTTTTCCACCTGTGGAATGCGAATACGAGTCAGTTTTCCTACGAAAGTCCTTCACGAAAGCATTCCTCACCTTATGCAAATAACCCTCATCTATTCTCTCATATTCTAATAGCATAACCTTTTCTACTAGACAGAAGAATATCTTTTTTTTTTTTAATGTATGACTCCTAATGGTGTTAAAAACTGCAGTTTTCTTTTTTTTTTTCCCTCTTCAATGTAAAAAAATATGCATCGATCAATCGATGTTACTTTACATGAAATCTACGTGAATTTGTATTTTTTCAACTATTTATTTACATGTTGGAGAGTTTTCATATCCGTGAACTGAAACTTGACGCGGACAATAAGCTTCTCTCTATTATAAGTGCAGAATGTTTCCATGTTAACTTTCTCTGGAACGTTCAAAATTTAATATTTCGTGGATGTGATGGAAAGAAGTTTGCATGTAACATTAAAACATAGTCTCTAGTTTCTAGTTTACTGTCACTAATTTTTCAAACAGAAATATTGTTTATAATGTACATTAAAGTTGTATATTCACTTATAGTAGCAGGGAAAGAAACTCGAAAATCATTTCATTCAAATGTTTTGATCATTTCCTTCAAATTTATACAGCAACTGACACTGAAATATTTACACGATGGCATTAAGATTGCTTGCTAATTAAAAGTTGTTAATAATATAACATTTTATTTTGTAACAAAAAAGCTTGCTTTAAACTGAATAATTATAACATTATAGAATATTAAATTTTTAGTTAAAATTTTAAGTTTATGAATTAAAACTGTGATAATTCACTAAATTTTTCATAGACAATACCTCAGCAATCCTTGTGAAAGTTAAAACACAGTTCTAATTTAGAACTTAAAAATTTAAAGGTAGTATTGATAAATTTGACATTTGTGAAATTTTTAACAATTATTCAACCTGAATGAAATTATTGTGCATTTCTTTTGAAGTAATTAGACATGAATCAAAGACTGAACGATTTTAAGATGAAGCATTGTTATTAATAACCAATAAATAAAACAAAAATGCACATAACTTGACGTAATTGACATCCAACTTGGTAAAAAGTGTTTCATTCTTATAACAAAAATTTTGAGGATACAAATACTAATAGCGAAAGAAATGGGATATGTTTATATTACTTGATAAATTAAATAGAACAATAGTAATAAGTATAATAATTTTAGTTGTAACAGAAATAAGTGCCTTTATTTTATTTCTGACCCAACTTAATAATACTTTACACACCCAATCAGTTGGCAGGAAACATTTATAAATATATAGTTTAATTTCCACAAAAATCTCTACAGAAATTAATTTTAAATATTTAATAGAACTATAATTGTATAATAGACTTCTGTATTCATAAATGTGGTTATAAGAAGCATAAAATGAAAATTAAATATTATTGTAGGGTTCCGTAGAAACATTTATTGCTTTATATTGTAATATCTAGATTAATAGGAAAGGCTATCCTTGCTGAAGCGTCGTAGAAACTCTAATCCTTAATTTCTGCTTCCTACAAACACCTCAGTCATAGGAATAAGTCAGGGACACGGGGTAATGTTTTTACAGAACACAAGTTGAAGGCTTTATGGTTTCATCCCTGCCCCAAATAACCCAAGAGGGAAAATTAGGAAGATCTAAACTTTGAATACGCTTCAGTTTTACAACTCTCTCATCTTGCATGCTTAACAGACGGAAAACTGAATTGGGGGGGGGGGGAAGAAATGTTTTTGCTGGAGGCAAAAACCATTTTGAGACACCCTGAGTCTTGGAGGCAAGCCCGTTTTGAGGACAAAAGTGAAAACTTTTGTGAGACATTTTGGTCTGTTTTCGCCGTTATAGTGAAAACCGACAATGGGTTAAATGTGTAATCATCGCCAAGTGTAACGTCAACATAAAAAGTTACCATACTCCTTTATTATTCAATTACTAACATAAAAAAATTGTTTAGGCATTGCTACATGAGTCATTACTCAAGTTGTTATGTATTGATAAACATGCAGCGATGAAAGGTATAATAAATAATGATTCCTCAAGTTGGCATCAGATCAATGATGTATCTATGTGAAATGTTTCAGTTTGAGATGCTTGCCAAGCAATGTAATAAATAAATAAATAATGATTCGCCAGGTTGGCGTCAGATCAACGATGTATGCATGTGTAATGTTTTGGTTCGAGATGTTTGCCAAGCAGATACACAGCAACAGAACCAAATTACTGATTGTACAAATTTATGCTAAAATGATTGTTTCTTCAATAACAAAGTATTTTATTTAGCTTCGAACTGAAATTAAGAATCGAGACTCTCCAGAAGTTTTATTATGGTCGGAGGGGGGAATCAAATGTGCATGCATAAAGCCTACATCCAAAACGTTGTTTAGTCGTTTTGAGATCTGTATTTTAGATCATTCCAGATAATGCTCGCCCGAATTTTGGACTTTATACTGTATCTGCAAAAAAGGTAACATACTCGTGTATTTTTCAAAAATCATGCATGGATGAGTTTCTTTCTATTGCTTTTCCTCATGGAAATGTAGTACATTTGTGATGTGTACCGTTTATCATTGTAATTTTTCGATTTTGCACGATGAAAGGGCCAGTATTCTCAAACACACACCCAAAAAAAAATCTTAAAGGTTTCAGATTTTAAATTACGTCCAAAGGGGCATTTTTTAAACATTTTGTGTGTTACCTTTATTTATTAAATATCATGTTCTATGCACTCAAGCTATAAAATTCAGTTCAGCAGCAGTATCGCAAATTAATTTTAATATGAGCATATCTCTAGAATTTCTGATACAAAGTCTCGCGCACTGGAGATAAAAATGTTTTTTTGTACAGTGTGGCCATTGCTTGCTTTGAAATCTTTTAGTTTTTTAATCAAAAATTCATTGAAGTGTTACAAAATCTGAAATCGATAATAAAACAAATTTTAAATTCAAATTAGCGCTTCCACATGCCCATAATCTATGAAAGAGTACGTTATTCAAATTTTGATTGCTCTAGGTACCATAATTTTATCACAGTGTGAGAAGCATACATACATTTATTCAGATTCTTCATTATTTAATTTCTTTAAATATGAGACAGTGAGATAATATATAATGGCAACGATTAGAAAAGTGATACAACATTTAAATTTTTCAATGCAAAATGCCAAAACAAAATTAATAGTCCTTCAGGGTTGAACTAACAAGGACAATCTATCGAAAAAAATGTTGTTGTTTTTTTTTTTCCCCCTGTGGAAATAGAGCCAAAACTTTATTGATGCAGAATATGCTGTTTACATTTAAGAATTAGTAACTGAACTTCCAGATATTAATTAGTAACTACTTAAAGTTAATTCATTATTAAAAATGTATTTTGTCATTTAAAACCTTTTGTCGTTGAGAAAAATATCCTAATTTCTTAGAAAAATCTCATAATTTTTTAGTGTTGTAGAATAGCAAATATGGTTATGTTAGTGTTACATTTTCAAAATATGCATAATTTTAAAACATTTATATATTTTTTTCAGAGAATTTTCAGAAATGGCTGCTGGAGTACTTGATGCAAGTTATCAAGAGTCTTCTTGTCGAGCTTATGATGTTTTAAGTGAAGAAAGTTCAGAGTGGTCATATAAAACAGCTGTTGATATTGCAGCTAATGCAAAAAACCGTACATTTTTATCTCATCCTTGCTGCCAAAAATGGCTGTCCAATTTGTTTCTGGGAAATATCAGAATTAGAGATGTAACATGGGGAGTTATTACTTTTCCACAGTGGGTAAAGGTATATGAAACTTCATTTTAATATATTCTTAAAAAAAAAAAAAAAAAATCAGTTTGTATGTTGTATGACATGAAATGTAAAGGTTGCTCTTTTAAGAGGAGGGTATACTAATGTAAATCATTTACTGTATATGTAAATCATTTACTGTGTTGTCATATATATGTATTTTGAATTACAGTATTTACATATTAATACATCCACCTTGGCACAATTTGGCAAATTTTTTACAGATGAAAAGGTAAAACTTAGTCATTGGATTGCGAGTTGGTGGTTTTTGCTACATTTTTAAAAAAGATTTCCAAACTATCAATATTTATTAATAAGTTGGAAACATTATCTATATATGAAAAGAAAACATATGTTAGCAATTCAAAATACAAATTTAAATAAAGATCATGTGATATATTTGAAAAAAAAAATAAAATACTTGCATTCTTCTGCAAAACTTTCTGAAATTTTTGTATGCTATTCTTTTCCTTAAGTACACAAGGATCTGTTTTCACTTAAAAAGCATCAGAGAATTGCAGAGTCTTTGCAACAACGACTATCTACTAAATGCATCTTTGCATTGTTTCCTTTAGAAAATCAGTGAGAAATAATCTGGGAAATTTTGTGGCAAAATTCTGTATTTACTGCAGAAATTTTAATGCAGTTTTTTTCATTGGTGGCAGATTTCACAAGCTCATAATGGAAAAATATCTCAATTTGTTTATAAAAATTGTTGGAACTTGGAATACAACAAAAAGAGCATGTGTGAAAATTAGCTTTATTGACTGAAAGATTATTATAAGCATGATTGCCCGAAGAATGGTTATGTGCATGGCTGCCAAAGTTTAGCATATTCTGAAAATTTCACAACTTCTACTAAGGTGATTGCAATAACATGCAAGTACCTGAAATATTTAAAATTTAATGCTAATTCAGAATATTTTCCAATAAGGCAATTAGTGCATTAAATAATGTATCTTCATGCATTTAAAACATAGCTTGTGATTTAGGGGTGAGCTTATTATTAAATATAATTTGAAATAATTGTGTTTAAGTCATCTTGATTATATTTTCTTGAATATGTCATTAATGAGAAGTACAAAGTCCCTAATCCGGACATCCATTATCCGGAATGATCTATAATCCGGATAATAAAGCCACAAGCTTATGCATGCTTGTTTAATGCGCGCGTCTGCTATGCGGTAAATGCGCGTAAAGCATTTACCCATGCGCACTTCCGATAGTGAAGAAAGTGACAGAGAGGTTACTGAAAGCGAAAAAATTTCGATTGACAAGTTAGTCGGTATGCTCGACACAGCAATTACAGGACTTGAACAGGCCAGAGTGTCGCTGTGGTAAACAGATATAGTGAATTTTAAAGAGTGCATTTATTCTATTGTGGTTTCTGCGCTATCGACGAAGTAGATTTAATTTAATCCAATAAGTTTAAATGAAATGCAAGAAAAAAAATGGGTATAATTTAATATTCCGTACAAGGAAGTCATATGGTGCACACATCAGATTCTTTTTTCTTCCAAAGATAAATGTTTTGCATCTAAAACTGGCCTTAGAAATATTTCCCTCCTTTCACCAGCTGTGAAGACTAAACCAAATACTTGGATTTTTCTTGTATTCCTTAGTCTCTCATCTGAAATTAACAAAGACCTAAAGAATAAAAGTATGCTTTCAAATCAGCAGTTTTTCCATTGCACTAAGAAGTGAACTTCAATTTCAAGTGAACTTCAATTTTCTGTACTTTTAAGCGAGCTTTCCCTTTGTGTTATCACAGTCCCTTTGTTAAGATGGTGTGATGGCTTCACGGTTCAATATGGCACCATTAAAAAAATGAAACAAACATTTATTTAAATTAACGTTCAAAGAATAACGGTAAACTCGGAGCAGTACCTCGCTCCTACAGCATAAGGAAATCTACAACCTTCCTCCTCTGAGGCTAACATCCCACTGCCATCTCTCTCACTTGCTGGGCTTTGGCAGGCAGCTGATTGGCTCACTGCAGCCAGATGCATGACACCCCCGGTAAGATTGTGCTATGCCAAAGCGAAGCAGAATCTGAAAACTGAACCAGCAAATGAGTTCACAAACTTAAATTGTATACTCCACAAACCCAATGTTTTAATAATTAATACACTTATTAATATTTAAATCCTCTCACATTGAAATAAACAATTAAGCACTGAAATGACATATATATATGTTACAGTGAAACACCGAAATCTGGAGATTGTCGACTTTCGCCGGTAAATGTCAACATTCACATAGTCTCTTGGTGTATGTCCGAAATATTTTCCCAAATACTCTTATTTCTGACTTACACTAGTCAATGTCGACATTCACCATGTACTAATGGTGAATGTTGAACATATAACAATATTATATTTTCTTCTCCGTAATTCAGTCACGAATAAACGCACTTGAGACTTGAAATAAGAACACGAGAACCTAAAACACACAATACATTCAAAATGAGAAAATAAAATAACAGTAATAAAAAACTTACTAAATTATGTTATTTGAATCTTATTTATTGCAACAACTTAAACTATTATGGCACTTTATGACCTCTTTTTTTGACTTACACCAGAGCATATCTGTGATTGTCGACATACACCGGTGAGGGTCCAAGTGTACAAGAATGTAGTGCAATATTCGATCTTTCACCAATGTATTTGGTGAATGTTAGCATTCTCTGGTGAAAGTCGATATTCTCCAATTTCGGTCTTTCACTTTCACGGTAACATATACACTTTTACAAATGTAATACCAATATTTGCCTAGTATCTCATTATATATACATTTTTTCTTAACCAAATTAGTTCAAAATATATGAACATGTATACATGACGTAATAACATACTTTGAAATAAGTGCAATAAACATTCATCTCACAGCAGATGAACAGATGGCTTGATACAATACTGGAGTTCTGTAATAAAACATATATGCAATACTATTTCAAAACACAATATTATAATGCAACATTAAATGAAACCAGTAATTTGTTTTTCAAAACAGATGGAAAGTAGCTCTCGTACAATTCCGAAACAAAAGAAAAATAACTAATGCAAAGTTTTAAACATGTTAGTTCATACTTAGTTCACACCTCTTTCATTCACCAACTAGTCTTGAAAGACTGCATTTTTTAACTGTGCACCAGGGCAATGAGAAATATGAATATTGTAATGCTGAAGTGCCATTGCCCATCTCTTCAATTTGGCTGAATGCGGTGCCGACTTATGCAAATATAATAATGGATTATGGTGTGTGATCAGCTCGATATTCGCTCCAAACACCCAACACTCAAACTTTTTTAAGGACCACACAACGGCATAAGCCTTGCGTTCAATAGTTGACCAGTTCTACTGAGTTTTCGAAAGTTTTTGACTGGCAAAGCTGATAGGATGCAAACTGCCTTTGCTGTCTCGTTGTGTCAAGCAAGCACCAATACCATATGAACTTGTCACCTCAACCTAGTTCAGTTTCATGTATCAAATCTCGGAGAAGGCGTGAATGTCATATTCTTTCTGGCATGTAGGCATTTGAATTCTGTTGAAGCAAAAGTTTCCTAGAGCAGGTTCCGGTTAGCATCATACTGTATGGTGTAAGATTTTTCTATTTCTGGAGTGTACAGTTTAGGTGCTTCACACAGTCGACGTTTCAGTTCTTGAAATGCTGATTCCTCAACATCAGTTCGGAATTATCTCAGGAATTTTCTTTTTCGTAAGCTCCGTCAATAGGCGAGCTATTTCTGCATAATTCTTTATGTAATCACAATAATAGTTGAATAAGCCTAATGCACTCTTTAGAGCAGTCTTCGTTTTAGGACTTTTTATAATTTCGATGGCTTGTAATTTTTCAGGATCAGGTTGATGTCTTCCAGCTCCTATTATATGTCCTAAATACTTTATCTCCGAACGTGCAAAAACACATTTCTTTACGTTCAACCGTAAATCTGAGATCACTTAATGTAGTTAGCACAGCATCTAAATGTTTGAATGAAGAGATGCGAGAATTCCAATCTGGTGAAAAGATAGCAATATCATCAATATATGCTTTGCAAAAATCACTATGTTTTCTTAAGGCATTTCAAATCATCACTCGCTGAAAAGTAGAAGCTGCATTTTTTAATACCAAAAGGCATCACTTTCCAACGGTATTGGGAACGATGTGTCTTGAATGATGTTAAATCACGACTTTCTTCTTCTAAAGGTATTTCCCAGTAACCTTTCAAAAACATCTAAACAAGTGCTAATATTCGCGTGTCCAATTTTATTGATTAGATCAGTCATATTCTCCATTGGAAAATCAACAGGCTTGGTTACTTGATTCAACAATCTGAAATCAATACATAAATGCATACTTTCATCTTTCTTGGCAACACATGCAACTGGGTATGCTATTTCAGCTTCACTTGACTCACTAAGGCCCAAGCTAATTCCTCGATCTGTTTATTTACTTTAGGTTTCAAAGATTCTGGGATCTTATAGATATATGGTTTTTTTCTTTCAGCTCCAGGTAACAACCGAATTCTATGTTCACCAACGTTGGCTATTTGGATCTCACCATAAAATAACCCGATGTGCTTGAGTAAAAGCTCGTGTAATTTCTTTTGTTTGCTACCCTCTAAATGATTAATATCCTCCTGGATGTCCCTTTTAGTTGCAGAGCAATCCACTTTATTTGGAGTTGGGTAAATTTCCCCAAACTCAGAATCATCTTCAAATATCACTCCCGTAGTTTGTGCTCAAACATAAAATTTTCTTATTTTGTTTATATGAACATGCCGCACACTTCCATCGGGTAATTTAACCTTATAAGAATGAGGATTTACTCTTTCAACAATTTCACCTGGACCTGTCCACCTAGCATATAGCTTGTTGCTAAAGTCTGGTATAAGTAAATATACTAGATCACCATTTTTAAATTCTTTCATACTTTTGCGACGGTTAAAATAATATGGGTAAGCTTCTTGTTTTTCCGCGGCAGATAAAGAA